GCACTGGCGGCTTGGGTCTGCTCATCACAGGCAACGTGCAAGTGGACAGGCGCTATATGGAGCGGCCGGGCAACGTGGCGATCGATGGCCCGCAGGACGAGGCCCAGCTGGAAAGGCTACGAAGCTGGGCTTCCTTTGCGACGGTGGCGGGCAACCATTGCTGGGTGCAGCTGTCACATGCAGGGCGGCAGTGCTGTGTGAAAGTGAAGAAGGTAGGCCTGGCGCCATCGGCGCTGCGTTCCGCTTCCAGTCTATACTCATGAGACTGACTTTGTCTTGCTTGTTCCTCCTTGGTCTTAGAAGATATACCTGTGAAAGCTGATTCTTGTGAGCTCACTCCTCAGCAAGGAGAACATTGGCGGTCGGCGCTCCATCATGCCAAGCTATGTTCCGGAAGAGATCTCGGCTGCAGGAGTTGCAGACGTCGTCCGGAGGTTTGTGGAGGCAGCTGTGGTGTGCAAAGAGGTCGGGTTCACAGGAGTGCAGATACACGCAGCCCACGGCTACCTGCTCTCCAGCTTTCTGAACCCTTTGGCAAACAGGCGCGCGGACCGATATGGCGGATCCACCGCATCTCGGTCTACGCTGCTGCTTGAAGTGGTGCAAGCCACGCGCGCGGCCGTGGGAGGGTCCTTTCCGATCTCGGTGAAGCTCAACTCATCCGAGTTTTGGCTGCTTTGCCACGGGGGTTTCCGGAAATAGGGGTACCTTATTGGGGGGTCCTCATTATCTATATTTTGGGTCCCTTGTTTTCGTACACTTCCATATATCCTTGGAGAAGGAAAACGTGCCAGTATTCTGGGTTCAAGTTTCCCCCAAACTCGAAAACTCGAAGCTCTAGGTTTGCCATCAGCTATTGACTATTGAGATCCAGGGTGGCAGTTGATCGGGGCTTCCGAGATTTCCCTGCTGCAAACCCTAAACCCTAAACCCCTAAATATGCGTCCCATAGTATCCGATTGTCTCCTCAGGATCTTGGGGTGGTTCCATGGGCCCTTAATATGGTCCCTTACCTCCTGTAAAGGGTTCTGATGTATGGGCCCGTTTGGTTTGTTTAGGGTAGGTAAGGGGTATAAAGGGGCCCCCTTTTCAGGGCCCATAGTAAGGGACCATGTAAGTGCCCTTAGACAGGAATTGCCTTTGTTTATCAGCTTATGCAAACAAGGCACAACCAAGGGCTGTTTTGTTAAGATAGTTCGTTGTGGTGTTCCTAAACCCTAAACCCTAAACCCTAAAACCTAAACCCTAAACCCTAAACCCTAAACCCTAAACCTTAAACCCTAAACCCTAAACCCTAAACCCTAAATGTGGTTCTAAGGGAGTGTAGCATCAGGACTTCCAGAAAGGCGGCCTCAGCTTTGAAGAGGCTGTTGGCGTCGGTCGTGAGCTGGATGAGATCGGCGTTGACTTGCTGGAGATTTCAGGGAGGGGGGGGGGAGGGGGGGGGGGGGGGGGGGGGAGGGGGAGGGGGGGGGAGGGTGGGGGGGGGGGGAGGGGGGGGGGGGGGGGGGGGCAGGGGGGGGGGGGGGGGGAGGGGGGGGGGGGGGGGGGGGGTTCCCAAAATAGGAGTACCCCTGATATAGAAGCTCACTATATATACATTCATATACATCTGCATAGACAGACATATATATATATATATAAATAATAGCAGAATCCCCTTAGAGGGACCCCCAAAGTAGGCACCCCTATTTTTGGGAAACCTTCAACCGTAAACCCTAAACCCTAAACCCTTAAACCCTTAAACCCTTAAACCCTTAAACCCTTAAACCCTTAAACCCTTAAACCCTTAAACCCTTAAACCCTTAAACCCTTAAACCCTTAAATCCTTAAACCCTTAAACCCTTAAACCCTTAAACTCTAAACCCTAAACCCTAAACCCTAAACCCTTAAACCCTAACCCAGGAGGCAACTACGAGAATCCAGCGATGCTCGGAACCTTCGACCTGCTGGCCACGTCGACGAAGATGAGCCTGTGGTCTGATTATGATGTTAGATTTTTTGCGTATCCAGACCTAAGAATCTGCAATTCCTTTGTGTTAGGATTTAGGGTTTAGGGTTTAGGGTTTAGGGTTTAGGGTTTAGGGTTTAGGGTTTAGGGTTTAGGGCTAGGACCCAGAGGAGGCCCTTATTCCTATACATGGTCCGAAAATAGTGGTACTTTTTTTTTGGGGGGGGTGGGGGGTTCCCCTGAAGGGGATTCTCTTTTACTTGGGGTGTAAAAGGGGTACCCCGATGTTTCGAGAAAGCCCATATAAGAATCTAGGACCCCGAGTAGGCCCTTATTTTTTTTGTTGGCATTCCGGTTCCCTCATAAGCCCCTTGATACCAAAAAGGTTAGCCTCTTTCCCAAGAAGGTTCCCCGGTCTCTTCTTTGTGCTTATTCAGTTGAGGGATATGGGTTCCTCCTTGAGTTCTTTGATTCAGATATAGAGATTTAAACATATTCCAAGGTTATTCAAGAAGAAATGGCTCTATTTATTCATCCCTAAGCCCTAAACCAGGGGAATACCATTAAACCCTAAACCCTAAACCCTAAACCCTAAACCCTAAACCCTAAACCCTAAACCCTAAACCCTAAACCCTAAACCCTAAACCCTAAACCCTAAACCCTAAACCCTAAACCCATACCATTTGCTCAGGAGAGAAGCCTACTTCTTGGACTTCGCGGCGGGCTTCCGAGCCGAGTCCTGACTTCGAAGTACGTCAGGACTTTTTAAGATTTGGGTGCTTCGGGTTTAGGGTTTGGGGTTTAGGGTTTAGGGTTTAGGGTTTAGAGTTTAGGGTTTCGGGTTTCGGGTTTAGGGTTTGGGGTTTGGGGTTTAGGGCTTAGGATTTGGGATTGAGAGTGTCGGGTTTCGGGTCTAGGTCGGGATGAGAATACCCCCACTTGCTATGATCATCCCTAATAAAGGACTGGTAGTATAGGGGAACCATTCTGAGGTTCAGGACTTCAGGGTTTCGGGTGGGTTTAGGGTTTAGGGTTTAGGGTTTAGGGTTTAGGGTTTAGGGTTTAGGGTTTAGGGTTCAGGGTTTAGGGTTTAGGGTTTAGGGTTTAGGGTTTAGGCTTTAGGGTTCAGACCCGATGCTCTGCAGACTGGCTTGCCTGCCATGAGGTGATGAAGAAGACGCCCCTGATGATCACGGGCGCCGGCCTCAGCGATGTGCAGCGGATTGGGTCTGAACCCTAAAGCCTAAACCCTAAAAACTAAACCCGAAACCCTAAACCCTAAACCCTAAACCCTAAACCGACATCACTTCTGATTGAGGTGGAATGAGGAGACGATCAGTCATGGAAGCTGCTTTGAGCTCCGGCAACGTCGACGTCATTGGGATCGGGCGTCCGCTCTGTGGCTCGCCCCATTGCTGCCTGGACCTCCTGAATCTGGGTGGAAAAAAGGGTTTAGGGTTTAGGGTTTAGGGTTTAGGGTTTAGGGTTTAGGGTTTAGGGTTTAGGGCTAGTGGCCGCCCAGTGGCACTCTTTACCCTATTGTTTTGGGGGTTCTGGGTTCCCTTCAAAAAACCAGCCAAAACACAGGGCACCCTTCTTGTAAGATGGTTCCGGGGCTACCAAGGAATGGCTCTGAGTCGCTTCCCTGCTATGAGAACCTTAGTAGCTGAAGGAGTACACTTTACACCTTTTGGGATATTACACTGAAAGTGTGCACTTTTGGGGGTGCCTATGAAGTCAGCAACTAAGGAATGAGCTGACCCTGCCTCGGCCACTTCGGTGGCTCTCCCTTCTGCAATTTGGCCGAGTGCTGCAGACCTTCGCCATACAGTCAGGGCCCCAGGCCCGGTGACTTGCAATGTGACCGTCAGAAATAGCAAGTACTCCGTGCTCCTTGGTGCCCAGAGTGCAGCGAACACACACACACACACACACAGACAGACAGACAGACAGACAGACAGACAGACAGACAGACCGACAGACAGACAGACAGACAGACAGACAGACAGACAGACAGACACAGACAACAGCCACCCACTCACCCACCCACCCGCACCCGCACGTCTGAGGTTGTGGTATTATCATATGGAAATCCTCATTGGCTTGGGAAAGACATATGATGGCTACAACCCCATCCGGTCTCTGTGGTTTGTGGAAACGTGGGACAGCCAGCAAGCACGACATCTCAAAGGACTGACTTGCGAGGTGGGACACTCAGGGTTCAGAGTTTAGGGTTTAGGGTTCAGGGTTTAGGGTTTAGGGCTTGGGGTGTCGGGTTTGGGGCCTAGGGTTCAGGGTTCAGTGCGTTTAGTATTTGAGGTTCCCCGCGTGTGACTTCTGTAGCGCTCAAGCACGATGGACCCCATACCCCAAGCCCTCTAGAGTTGTCAGTCGGTGGTTTGGTTGTTGTTGTTTCAGTGGGGCCTGGCCAGGGCACCGTCTTGAATGCATCCATCCTCCCCTCCTTCGCCCTTGTGGCTCCATGTTCTCTTCTGTTTCTGGGGTCGTGGTGGTGGTGGCGAAGGCCATGAGCCCACGAGGCAAGTGTCTGCCAGATCCCTACCTGAAGGCTTCTTGAAGTTTCGTGGGTAGTCACTTCCAATTAGGGCTACAAGCACCCTGAATTCAGGTTTTGCCTAGGTGTAGTGATGCTTATCCTCGAACCTTACTTGTAACCCTACCTTTGCCCTGGTTAGAGCCACCTTGGGATGTTCCCCCATATACTATCAGTCCCGAACAGGGATAAACATAGGGGGTGCCTAAAATCCCTATTCAGGACTGTTAGTATAAGGGGGAGCATCCCAAGAGCTACCCATCAGAACCTCCGAGTTGGGATTCAGGGGTTTCCGGGCCCGACTGCCGACTGCAAATGGCTGTCTGGGAGGAAAGATCGTGAGGTTTGCAGAAATTGGAATGAAATGTATTTTCATTATATGAACATGTACAGGGACCAACCAAGTGTTTTGAATGATAATCTTGGGCGGACTTCGGTTATGACGACAATGTGCCTTGGGTTTGAATCTTTTTTCCTTCTATAGAAAATACGATATTCTCGAATATCATGATTTCAGATATCAATGAGCTAATATTCAATATGACAATTTTGATGGGTCATTCAATCTTCATATTTTGATATACCTGACATTTTTGTACCGATCTCATAATAAATTTCGAAGGGTTTCGGGTTACAGGGTTAGGGGTATTGCTGGATGGGTTCGAGCAGGGGGTCCGTCCGCTAGGTTCTACAAGTTTCAAGGGACATGAAGTGGTCAGGGCTTGAGGCCATGTGGTGTTCCCAAATTGCCATAGTCCTTATCAGAAATCCCAACAAGGGTACTCAAAGTTGCAGAAACCTCCCCCCCCCCCCCCCCCAAGTATGGTTTTGGGGTGTTCCACACAGCCGAGGAACACGTACCCTAAACCCTAAACCCTAAACCCTGAACCCCCTTGCAGAAAGGCTTTCTGGGGTGTCCCACACAGCCGAGGAACAAGTACCAGCAGCTGGACATATTGGTGAACAACGCAGCCATTGCCTCTTGGTAGCCCTAAACCCTAAACCCTAAACCCTAAACCCTAAACCCTAAACCCTAAACCCTAAACCCTAAACCCTAAACCCTAAACCCTAAACCCTAAACCCTAAACCCTAAACCCTAAACCCTAAACCCCAAGAAAAGGGTGCCCCCCCCCCTATTATAGTATGGTTACTGGGGCTACCAAGGCCTTCAAGGCAGCCGACCCCACGCCCTTCCAG